TGAATCATCAGGTAGTGAACAGGAAGGAGCGGCAGACTCTAGGGGGGGGGGCAAATGGTCAAAATCGTATTCAGCCTAGCCTGGCCTGAAAGGTTCAGGAGGAAGTGGGGCAGAAGTAGATGAGAGACGCTGGCTCATATACCACACAATCTCCTGTTGAATGGGCGATGATATATCCCTTAATGGGTCACCCACACCCGTGGCTGAGAATATGGCATCAGATGCTGGCAAAGTACTCAAAGTGGTGACTGTAACTTTGGAATTCATAAGTGGAAAATACAAGAAAGTAATGCTTTATTAAAATATTAACTCCACAACTGTGAAGTGTAGTAAATAAAGTTAAGAAATATATGAAAAATGAAAAAATAAACCACTTTAAGGTAACTGAACAATGTAAAAAAGAAGTCTGAACTCGACAGCTGCCAAACAAGAAGTGATGCTTCCGTAATGGCGAGTAGAGGGAGTCACATGCATCATGTGATAGTAGTGCTCTTCTATTATTGGATTAGTGATGCATGATGATTTACATGAAAGACGTGTTGGAACTTTGGATTCCAACAGAGGGAAGATGAAGGCTTGTGGCATGCATTTCTGAAAAAGTTTTCATATAAAGGGCAACAAAAAACGAGAACATTTATCTTGTGAGCGGAAGGAGAGTACCTTATGAGAATTTACCGTTATAAGAACATTAATATTTTTATTTAATTAAAAACATCACTTGTATACCAAATATATATGTAATTTAAACTATTGTTTAGACAAGTCAGATCAATCTAACAATTAAAAATCTATCAAACATACCTTCAACAGACAGAAATGCTTTTCCAGGTACAGGTTTTTGAATACCATCTTCAGAACCAAGGCTTAGCCATTCTGTAGGATTTCTACAGTCATACTCTGTATCATCAAAATACTGTAAGGCTAAAGAAGATAATGGATCTTGGAAATTCTTAGTGTCTCCTTGCACATTTGTGGCAGGAGGTAATAATGAATAAGAAGATTTTGGTTGCAAATAATGGGTCTCAATTCCCTCTTCAAGCAAAAGTGATTCAATATTCTGACTTCCATAATACCTTCTCAGTCTGTCAAAAATGTAATGAAAAAATATTTATCTCAAGATGTGTTTTATCTCATTTCTATATTGTCATTCCATCATGATATTAAAATAAGTTACATATAAAAATACAGAGGTTGAATATTTGATATTAAAATGATATTGAAGCCTAACTACATTATTAAAATCCACATCACAATGTCTGTTCAATCTGATAGTTATGCATTTTGTCAATAGCCTTCTGGCATAGTTTTCATAGCAAGAGGTTTCATCATAAAGTTTTCAGGTCAAAACCATATCACTACTCTCTGTTGCTTTCTTTAATCCATCTAAGATACAAGGATGATGGTATCTCAGTGTCCATTTCAACAGTCTGATTGTGCAGAAATCCATACTTGTTTCATTCTTCAGCTGCTTGAGATATGTGACAGCTGAATGGGAGGTATGACAGGAAGTCTTATCTTGGTGAGCCCATACTCTATTAGCCTGGGGCATATGGACAGCTTTTGTTACTGACCTTTGTATTGATGGATTCTCTCTTGATACAAAACACTACATTTTTCTTATCATAACTGTAGCATTAATTGTTGCAGGTCTCTTTTTGGATGGTCTTGGTGCTCCAATTGATCCATATTCTTTTGTTTTCAATGCTTTAAGTACAAAAGATATCTCCATCTTGGAAATTCTAAATCCCCAATCTGAACACATCTTTATGATGTAAGTGTATAAGCATTTTGTTTCAGAAAGGTACGATACATATCCTTTCCAAAAGCAATACATTTTTGATGGCCTCACACTACCTACAAAATGCTAAAATGTAGTTGTGATATATTCTGTTCCCATTCCACTATAATTCTATACTAGCTGTGACTTTCTGATTTGCATATTCAAAATCGGTTTAATATAACATAATCAACCCTCTGTAGTATATTATGTTTATCTTTTGTATTTAACAAGAACAGATCATATGATGTATAATCACTAACTATAATAGGGTTATTCCCTTTGTCACTCTATTGAGAATGCTTTTACACTTTTTTGTTAATTTCTTAGCAACAAAACTCTCACCTGATCGTTATTAGATCAACTATGGTGTTTATGTTGAATGTTCAATATTCATGTTGGTTTGTTAGAAAGGTTTGTTTTTTATTCTTTTTTTTTGATAATTTCGGTGACATAACAGCAAAATAGTTTAATTCAGAAGTTTTATGACATTGAGTTATAGCCGCAAGCAAAATAAAATTTACCAAATAGTGTTTCAGCTAAGCTTTACATTATGTTTATGTATTAAATTAGACTACAAATAGGCCTACTAACATTAAAGAATCAGTGTTCAAAAAGTTTTAAGTGTTGAATTAATATTAATTAATGAATATTCTTTTGGTATTTTAACACATATGTTACCTACTTGGCTTTAAAACATGAAGAAAAATAAATGTAATTTATGTAATTGATAGTAATTTATTACTATCAAATATCTTTTATCCTTTGTACAGTCGAAAGAGTTGAAAATTTGTGTCAGAATGTCCGCACTATGTTTTCTACTTCCTGACCTAGAATACAATGAAAAGGCTCAAGAGTGCCGTTTAAATCTCTTTCTGAGTGCACACGTACTTTTGTTCATGATAACATTTCATTTTTCTCCACAGTTTTACTCAAAATGTGGTGATTAAAGAATTACTTTGAGACTGATGAAATAAGTGAAGAGTAGGTGCATCTTGGAGATACAAACAAATTTGCTTTAGTTAAAAATCTATAATTTTCATTAATTGTTCAACAATAGTTTCCCATCATTTTTGATGGGCTTTTATACTATTTCAGTATAAAACATAAAATGGCTTATATAATTTGTTTCATTAATTTAGATAATACAAACATGTTAAAAATGCCAAACTTCATTCACAATTCACATTCTCTCTGTAGCTGAAGAATCAGAAAGTATATCTCTGCTCCATGTGAAGTCATAGAACAATCCCATATATACAAGTAAATACAGGATACAATAAATTTATTCCATGAACAGTACCTTGCTTATAAGAATGATCATAGTACAGAATACACCTTGGGATGACTTAAATTAGCACATAACCTCAACCAAAACTTGAAAAAAATTTTAAATTCTGTAGGTATGAAATATATACAATTATCAAGTGAGATATTTGTTACTTGCATATTTCATACTACAGTATGAAAATTATTTTTTTTAGCAAAGACAGACTTTTAGATGTGTCTGTATCACAACTGTTTAAAATATAAGACTGCAAGTAGATGAATGATTACAACAATATAATTTACTTGTTATTCAATACTTTGATTAGCATGTAAAATATAAATATTTACCTGAAAATCAAAAAATAGTCTGTGCTATTTTTATCTTTTGGAGTTCATATAATATTTCTAACAATTTCTAACTACATATAAAATTATTTAATAGATAAAGATGCAAAGTTGATATAGTAGCTTATTTTGGTACATTATAAACTATGAATATTTCTTACCTTTCAATAGCAACCCTTCTTGGACATTGCCCATAAGGAATTTCATAAGGTATTTGAACTTTGGGCAAAAAAGCACTCTTTGGAAAGTCCTATATGTGTAAGTATAAGAATTATTATTAACTTCCTATTATAAACCAAGATAAATAGTAAATCCATTATTTAAGAAATATATCACTCAAAGTAGTATGACTTATTTTTGTTTCTTTTTAAATTCCATTATAAGTTCATACTTCACCATAGATATTAGCCTAGTACAAAAATCAGAAAAGAGGACTAGAAAAAGGAGGTAGAGGTATTTTTGAGTAACGCATTGGTAACTTATTTTATATTTTGAATTTGGGTACCATATTTTCTTTCTTCTCTAAATTCCTCAAATCATCATTTAAAGCTTGTGCCTGTAACTTATATTTTATATGTTAAATGGTGATAGTACACCCACACAAGTCCCACTAATTTACCAATGCATCACTTAACATGAACAAAAATTAATTATCTTATAAATTCATTACATAAGTTATGTTAATGTGTGTATTATGACTCAATAGGATGGGACTCTATGAAGCAGGTGTTTTACAGGTACTTTGATAAGAACATGTGCAGACAGATAGTCAACTACAAAATTTTGTTTTGTTAATATGAGCTGGCTTATTATTCTTCATATATATGTATATTTTTTAACATTTTTTTGACTGAAAAAGTAAAACAGTAACTGTTTACACACATAGGAACTCGCAGAACTTAAATCTTTTGTAAGTATTTGTCCAGTAATTGTCCAAATGGTTGCACAACGCACTGGTAGCCACTTACCATATCCGAGCACTGTAATTAAGCTGAATGTAAGTACTTTATGCACATACTGTTGTGGTGTATAAATATACCATGCATTTCTATCTTCTTCTATTTTTATATAGTATTATTCTGAATTTATAATTTATTCTGTATATGTGCAGGTTTCACATAACAAGTAATTAAAAAGGTATTAAATTGATGTCATTCTAATTGCCTTTGTTCCTTGTCATTCTATTGAGACTACACCTATTCTGCTCATAGACATACATCTCAACTCATAGATAACAAGTGACCTTGAGCAAATACTAACGTTAAATAATTGTTTTCAATTTAATTACTTTCTTTTACTAATACAGTATTTTACTTTAATTCATTTGTAATAACTCATATTTTCTTCTAACTTGCATTATTATAAGGATTAGCTCACATATCCATTTTGAGATGTTCTTTTAGTATCCCTGGGGGGTGCACATGTGCATGTAGATAGCATGTGTCTTCTTAAACAAGAAGTGAAATGTCATGAACTTTCATGGAAAATGAATAAGCAGAAAACAACAAAAATAGTTGTTCCACAAAATATTCTAAAATAAAAAAAGCAAAGAAAACACGAGCACATATTAGGCACATCTGCACTCTAGTATGCCAAATCAAGAAGTGAAGACTGGGTTCTACAGTATAAAGGGAGTCATCTGCACCAAGAGGTTATATTGCACTCCTGTTGATAGAGGACTTTATTTGCTTTATTTGATGCTTATTTGCATGCTACAATGCAGCTGTGCCACAGGTAAACACATGGGGATAGGTGGGAGTATCAAGGCTAGTGGTAAGCCAAAAAACTGCACATACAGAGCGTAGCACTGAACAAAAAGGCTATTATGTGAGAAAGGTAAGGTATTGTATCAGAACTTGAGTTAGACTATTATGAAGGTTTAATGCTTAACCAATTTGCTGCAAACATTTTGAGCTAATTAATACCATTATGGGCAAAAATATATATAAGTGTGATTTTATCACATGCTTAAAATGCAATTATATCTGTAAGTTAATGAGTCAGGGCAATATCAAATGATTTTTCTTTATGGTATATACTTAGAGTAATTAACAATTACTTCATATAACAAGTAATCCAATAAAAAATAAAGCACTCTGTGTGACAAAAAAAAAGACATATGACATCCTTCCCAGTTATTATTAATACCCTTCCATAATTCACTGATAATAATTCATCCAATTATGTCTATCAGTACAACATATAGTCAACCTTTATATTTTTGTTTTCGCACAAACTTTCAGTAACAACCAATGCATGTAATTGGCATTGACACACACTCTGTGGAGCAATTGGATCAAGAGTGTTGACTGGTTTATGCCTATATTATGCATGCCAATTTGGGAGAATATGGATAAGTGTGTAGTGTCTCAGTGATTTGATTAACTTATGTTGAGTTGGGAAACCAAATGTGTAATGATACTGTTTGTTATCTTAGGGACAGCAGATGACTGACTGATCTGAAAAATAAAACAAACTCATATTTCACTGTGGGAGGAAATATAAAGCAAAGTTGGAATTTTGAAGACAAAGTTTAAAAATACATCACCCAGTTATGTGCTCTCCAATGCTCGATACTATTAAATTGTATTTTGCATGAAATCACCTAAAAAACACCAGTCAAGAATCAATTCTTTAACAGAAATAATTTCACTTGAGAACAACTTTAGAACAGAGCTTCCAATGATTATACTTAGCAACCTGAATATTTTAAAATCTAGTTTTAATCTTAATCTTATTATTCCACCCTTAAAGGCATGTATCTAAATGCCTAACAATTTTATACACCTGAAAATTAAACATATATATACTGTCTTTGAATATGACAGTTCTAATGAAAATCTAACATCCTGTAATAAGTTGAACATTACCTTGCATAGCCATCCTAATAGAACAGACAACCCATACCATATCTTTAGTAATAAAGTAACAATAAACAGTAAGAAGAGGAAGGGAAGGAGTAGGCATAGAATAATACACTGCAACAAAAAAAAACTTTATGTTTGGCTCTTTTCTCTAAATAAAACCAAGATGCATGTAATAAAGAATAACTTAAGAAATAAACCTGATTAAGCCTCAAACAAAATTTGAAAAGAAACCTGAATAAATTGAATAATATTACAAATGCATTTTGTTCTTATACTTCACATAAAAACAATAGAAAGATATTTAATAACTGGTATAGAAAGTTTTTCTTTCAAGATAGTGAAGAGAAGAAATCATCATTGATTTGCAATAAATTAATAAAACATGTTTTCACAGTCTACATTACTTCAGCTCTAATGTATTAGTAGCTTAATCAAAAACAATGAAATACATTTGTTCCATTATCAAACATATGAACACTAATCTTACCAAAGATACATCCACCTAAATTCCAAGAGAAAAAAATATGATTGTTTGAACTAGATAAGTAGATCTGTCATAAATTACATTCAGCTGAAGAAAAAATTAATTCAAGAACTTGTTTCGAAATATATATAATTTTTTTATATATATATTATAAAATGCTACAAACATACATAAACACAGCTATTCTTACACTTTCATCAATTATCTCAGTGGTTGGTCCCTGAATTCCTTTAGACAACTCTCTCTGAAGGCTTTTGAAGTCCTTTGGTCCAGAAAATGATGATACTAAAAATATAAATAAAAAGACAATATTCATAGGTGCATTCCTAATATTATGTAATCAAATTGTTCATTTTTTTTAATCCCAAGATCTTCTATAATATTTTCAGTCAGAAACATTTAAAACATACCACACTTAATTTAGATAAGAAAACAACAGAATATTTTCATATATCTAATATTGTTCATTACCACATAATATTAACAAAATTAAGTATTTCTATAAAGAAATACCAAAAAAAAAAAATGTGTTAATTTATTCCAGTCATGATTTTTGTGAGGCCTTTTAGGATATGATTCATGTGTACAAACTATTCTAACACCCCCAAAAATAGTCTAGATTTTGCTATAATATAAAAGAAGTAAACTTTCTTACAAAATCTATTAAAATTTAAATTATCACATGTTCCATTTTAATAGTTTCCAGTAACACAGGGATGGTGTCATATATTTGATTTAATCATGAAATTTAGTGTCAAACAGATTATCTGTAAAATTCATTTGTGTAGTAATTTTATAAAAGCTAAGATAAAAGAAAACAAAAAATATGTAGGCGGGAATAATGATTCCAAGCACCATAAGGTATTTTTGAGACCTGAGGCATGTTTTATTTTGTAAGTAAGATATTTCCAGTTTTCAAACCCTTCACCTACCCTGTTGCAAAAAAGAAGGAAAAGTATGATGTCCACATACTGAATACACTTCATAATTCACCTGCACATGAGTGGAACTCAGAAGTAGTTATGTTCTAATCCATGAAGTGCATTTTTTTGTTTGCAACTCTATTACTTTTATATAATCAATTTTACATATTTAATGTACTTTTTACTGGCAGGTGTTAAAGCTATTTCTGACATTCAATTGTTTGAACTTATGAATATGGTGTAATTTGAGATGCAAAAGTACTTGAATATCTGTAAAGTGTAGAGAATTTGTGTTTTTCAGGATTATGCACTTTAAACAACAATAAATAATATTTGCTGACACTTGTTTTGCATAAAGATAAACTTATGGGTGCTAATGATATTATTGAATAATAGTAATTGTGCCTTGTCATAGCTAGAGCACTGAAAACTGCAATTTTCAAATAACTGTTTGGAACAACATTTGCTGCAATAGCAGCACTTCAAGTGATAATACATTAAAGCTCTATGCTTAATAAATAGTTGTACAATTTGGACATGAAAAAATTTATATAATACAGCTTAAAAACAAAATTTTCTCCTCAAGCGAGTTTCATAAAAGTTACATTTAAAAAAGTTAGTATAAGAAATACATTATCTTGTTAACAGAGATTGTCCACTACCTGCAGGGATGTACTTCTCTGTTCCTGCTGCACGACATCTGCTGGGAAATTGTGTGGCTCCATGAATCTTAAATTTCTACAAATCAATAATCGATTATTAACAAGGAAGAAAAGATATTCAAAAAATATAATTTTATGTAAAATATTTCAAACAGAGTATATATATTCTATATGATGTATATGTAGCTGATATTACTATATTTTGAATAATGCTTTATTTTCATCATATTTATAACACACCTTATCATTAAGCTGTAAAAATATTTACTTTGATCCACAATTTGGATCCTTTACCAGTACAAAATGTGTTATATTGATAACATTAAACATATTTGCACCAATGTTGTAACCTCACATTTGGGAAATAAAGACTTCACATTATACATTATCCTAAAATTAGGCTTCCCACAAAGAAAATAAAAAATGCTCAAAATAATTACAGGTATATATTCTAGATAGTGATTTCTGGTATTTATTAAAAGCAGGAAAGACAGTAAGAGAAGGAGGGGGGGGGGGGGTGTTGCTGCGACTTAAGCTACCCCAAAATGTGTCTTAGCCTACCCTGCAGTCCATGCACCCAATGAACAATTCTTAATGTTGAAGCTGATCCACTTCCCAAATACTACAGTATGTATGCCCACAAAATGTACGTGCAGCACCCTCAATATTTTGTCTAGCACACCTCAGCCTACACACTGGGAAGAGGTTAGTATCCCCCCATGATTAAAAGTATTAATAATTAATGAAATTGTAATTATTTATACTTTAGCTATTATAAACTGTAAATCTACACTATTTATGCTTTGATTCTCCATTCCAAATAGGTTTCCAGTGGTCATTTATTTAGAACTGTAAATATGTATGTAAAATGTCATCAGTCAAAAACTTCAGAGTTTATATTTTATCTTGGTACTGTAAGTACTCTTTTGTGATATTTTAAATGTCAAAATTTTTTGGCTGATATCTCAGTAAAAACAAAATTATATTTAATTTTACCTTAGCTGTTATATTTCATATTTTAATTAATAATGTTAAGAATATCAAAAAGTTATTACAAGGATATAATTATTATATTACAAATTGCTTATTTGTTACAGAACTAAAGACTCAAACATATTACCTACCCATTCTTTATTTAATTTCATGAAACATATTTCAGCAAAGGCCACATACTTACATTAATTTCTTGTGGAAAGGGTTCTTTTTCATCTATTTTGGAAATCAATTCTGAATAATAACCTCTCTCTTTATTCAGTGGTTGATCCATGTGAATCTGTTCAAAACAGAATCAGAATATTAAAGTGTGTTGTAAATATATTGTAATGATATCTCCAAAAAGTGGTAATAAATAAAATACAAAACATCTTAATGTGAATTAATAAATTGCAAACATGTCAATTCTATATTTAAAATCCAGATAAATTTGAATGGTATAATCATAATATGAAAAACAAGTATATGTTCTCCTGAATCAATAAACCAGTAACACTGATATCTACTTTAACAGAAAAAAACTTAACTGTTATTCTTTTTTGTTGTTGTTAAGCACAAAGCTACACAATGGGATATCTGTGCTGTACCCACCACAGGTTTTGAAACCCACTTTTTAGTGTTATAAGCTTTCAGGTTTACTGCTGACCCACCGGAGGATAAAAATTAACTGATTATTAAATTTAGATATGAGTGCATAATCATAATGCACAATAAATTTCAGATTGAATTTTAAAAGTAAATATCATATACGTGGTTAACATGATTTTCCATGAGATTCTGCAATTTATGAAAGGTCTGATAGTGATATTGATTTATTATAAACGTTAGAAATTGCTTTTAATTTGTGTCTGATAACAACAAAAAAGAAAGATTTGCTTTTTTTTATAGCTTATAATATTTATAAGTCAAATATATTTTATACACTCACCTAACATTTAACAATTTCCTCCATTTCCCAACTTTTACAATTCCTACTATTACTACTAGTTTTAGTCTTAGTGATCACTTTCATGTTAACGCTTTTAAGTATGTTAGGCCTATTTTATTTTTTGAATTTAAATTCCTATAAGCTCCTGGCAGATGGATTAGTTCTAACAACAATAATAATAATTCGCATTGAGGTTACAAATCAACCACCTGCAGAAACTAAGACTCCAAGTATGAGATACACAGTTAAAAAAAGCAAACTTCTTTCTAATTCTATGAGCATACGTAAGCCTACTTGGTTTAATTTAGGCTATTTTAGCCTAACCTATTTTAAGCCTAAGCCAGTCATTTGATCTTTACTTTAGTCTTGATATGTATATCACATACAAATTAGAAGTTACAACTATATGTGATTATTTGATGACATTTTTTATAAATCACATAGTAATCGAAAAGCAAAAATTTAAGTATATTGCATCTGCTTGTCATAACAAATTCGTTACTAGCTGGTAGACCTTATGATTACAGCGAAATATAAATATTGACTTTTCGGCCTGGGCTACTTACAGTTATTACTTAAGCCTAAATTGAAGTCTAAAACTAACTAGGAACAAAAGCAGACGACAAATAACCTCACAAAATTTAAGTTAAAAGGCGAAATGAATTTTTTCACAAATACAGTCCGGTAAAGATTAAACCATTTTCCTGTGTTATTCCCTATTGACTTTGAAATTAATATAATATTCAACAAACTTTAATAAGAAACATCGCCAATCTATTGAAAAATGGCATGTTTAAGTTATATATTTTAACAAACTATTAACAACACTTCAATCATAGTATTGCATGTCCCACTTAAAAAATCTTGTTTGTTTTACTGCTACAAAAAAAAACTAACTAAAAAAGGAGTTGAGAAACCTAGAAAACGTTTATGAAGCTAAATAACAGCGATAATGCTTTGAAAACTATTTTAAATGACTAATTAAATAACTAATTAGCTGCGTATTTTTTCAGTTTTATTTTCAGTTTTATTCTTATTTAGGTTGCTTTGAGACTATACATACATATATATATATATCATGAATGCATCTATATAAATATGATAGTACTGTCTGTTGTATATCCATGTAATTACTTTGCAGGATGTGGATGGACCTTCATCAAAATCTGTATGGAGATTCATTAGGTCCATGTTCAGTATTGCATTTTGCGTTTTGCGGTTTTTATAGGCGTTTTTTAGTTTTTTACCATTACTTCGCCCCCTGTTCACAGATCTTCACCAAATTTGGCTCGAAGGTATGTTGGGTCTAATAGGAAGATACATGCAAACTTGCGGTTTCACATTTTGTGTTTTGCCATTTTTATGGGCGTTTTTTACAATTATATATAAGGGTAGCAACTGTTCATGTCCTAAGATAATCTTTTATTAATCATAAATTTAAATAACTTCCGTCCAGTGGACGATACTCCAGCTAGTCAACAACTATTTTTTCAGTTTTGTTGTCAATACATTTCATTTTATACTTTCAGTACACAGACTAACAACAATATTAGGTTATACTTTTGTTACTAAGTGACATAACATACAAGCCATCGTTTGAATGTAGTGTTACCAAAACGCACTGGTTTTTCTATATATTAGAAGTTGTTAATCTAACTGATGTTTACCAATAGTTATTCTATGGATCCCCAGTGGCACGGCGGTATGTCTGCGGACTTACAATGCTGGAATCCGGGTTTCGATACCCGTGGTGGGCAGAGCACAGATAGCCCATTGTGTAGCTTTATGCTTAATTACAAACAAAGAGTTATTCTATGAATACACCACGAACTCATTTCACGAATGATCTTAATTTTGATTGGCTCACTAAGGAATTTAGCGACGTTTGACTGCCTCAACTGCATGTTGCTGCCTCTGTGTTACGTAAGCTTTATTTCGCAAAATTTATTTATTTCAGTTAGCTAGTTTGAATGTAGTGTTACCAAAACGCACTGGTTTTTCTATATATTAGAAGTTGTTAATCTAACTGATGTTTACCAATAGTTATTCTATGGATCCCCAGTGGCACGGCGGTATGTCTGCGGACTTACAATGCTGGAATCCGGGTTTCGATACCCGTGGTGGGCAGAGCACAGATAGCCCATTTTGTAGCTTTATGCTTAATTACAAACAAAGAGTTATTCTATGAATACACCACGAACTCATTTCACGAATGATCTTAATTTTGATTGGCTCACTAAGGAATTTAGCGACGTTTGACTGCCTCAACTGCACGTTGCTGCCTCTGTGTTACGTAAGCTTTATTTCGCAAAATTTATTTATTTTAGTTAGCTATATTTGTTTGTTTGAAGTTAAGCCCAAAACCTACACAAGGGGCTATCTGTGCTCCGCCCAGCACGAGTATCGAAACCCGGTTTCTAGCGTTGTAAGTCCGCAGAAATACCGCTGTGCCACTGGGGAGGTCAGTTAACTATTAAATGTGAGATAAGGGTATACAATGCGGTGGAAGTTGTAGTACTTGCCCTGTCATTTTTGACGGGCTGCACACTCGTCAATTGTAAAGTTGAAAGAGAGAGTAAAATGCTTCAGTTGTTTGAAAACTTCAGTATTTTAAAATAGTTCACTAAACAATTTCATGCAGAACTGATGTTTAAATTTCTTAAAATCATCTGATTACCTTTGCTTAACAACAAAATGCTTTTTAATCATTAAGATAAAACATAACAGTAAAGTTAAAAATCTAATGCACAAATCAGTTCAACTCTATGAATCCCAGCTGGGTCAATGGAAAGTTCACGAGCTTGCACGCTGAAATTCGCGGTTCTATTCTTCTCGGTAGACAGACCGTGGTTAACCCATTGTGTAGCCTTATGATAAAAACAAACAAATTGACCATTTAGCCAAAAATCTGAGACACGCTACATTATCAAAAGTCATACATGAAAACGCCAATCGTGGTATTGAAAGGACACATGCAACTAGAAAATTTGAAAAATGTGCATTTTATTATAAGATAGTATTATTTTCACTATTGGAACATTTGAGCAAGATTACAAATACTTACCTAAATATCTATTTACAAAAGGTGTGTGAAGATTATGTACGAACATGATATGAGGTTTAATTAGCATAGATAAAATAAAAGTAATATTATTATAGTGTATTAAACCTATATTTAAATTAGTTTTTACAAGTATTGTACAAGCTGGGACTGCATTTATAATAAAAATTGCAATTAGAAATTAACATTTTCCTTGTAAGAATGTTTTTAATCTATATATTTATGGAAGTTTGAAGCATTCTCAGACAAGATTTCTTAACCAACAAGTAAGTTAATTAAGATCTCAATACCGGAGGATAGAGAATCGGTATACAGAGCGTGAATGAATGAAATTGGGCCAATAGAAACGGAAAGTAAATACAATTTTTCTCACTCTGTAACAAAAAGAAATATTTGTTTCAATTACAACAAAAATAAAAGATGGCACATGATGATTTGTCTATTGTTGACAAATGCTGTACATGATGAGTCGGGCGTGGTCTAGTTTTATAGTTCGTGTCCCGTTGTTGCCAAAATGGAAATGTGAATAAGGTGTAAGAGTGGTGCTAAAATCCCACTACTAAATCAGATAAGTGTAGCACAAGAGTTCGTGGTGGGTGCTTTTGATTACATGTTTTCCCTCTAACGTATTAGCTCAACATTAGGGACCACTTAATGTAGATAGCTCTTTTTTGTAGCTTTGCACCGTAAATTGCAAGAAGATTCTGAAATAAATAAACTGTAAATGACTGGCTCCTCTATATGAACAGCAGGGGCAACGCTAGTTACTAAAGGATTCGGTGCTTTGGCCACCGGTATCGAAACCCGGTTTCTAGCGTTGTAACTCCACAGATATATCGCTGTGCCACTATGGAGCTATTTGATTGCTTCCTTTCTATTAATTATATTTTTGTGGGTCAGCAATACTAAGCGTGAGACGCGCGTATGGTTCATTATATTTTCTGGAAAAGTCGCTTACTCAGTTATATGAATATTCGCTGAAATAGCGAAATCTCGATTCACTCCATAAACACGTATATATAGCGTTTTTAGGCAGCTTTATAAGTACAACAAGCTTTTGTTTTGCAAAGCCAATACTAAGAAATAACACAGGCCTGCGATGGGTTTATTGCCTTGAAAATTTTACATGTTCTACAGTAATTCCTGTACGCTGGATCCGAAAATGATATCCATTTTTCTCGATCACGTACAGATTTTTCACAAAGCATCATAACGCAATACATAAAAGAAAGGCCGCAAAACGTTGATTTGATACTACAAGACGTAGATTTCACAAAAAAAGTCAGGATGAATGAGGATGCATATTCGTTTGACATCAATGTACTTCCCTTTTCTTCAGTTTGTTTGTATTTTTGTTAACAAACATAATAATATAAAATGTTCATTATGGTAAACGAAATAATTTGATCTAAGTAAGAGTTTTTTGTTTTTTTTGTTCCCGAGTTGTAAAAAATCCTTACGTGATAGAAACAAAATCAATATTATTTTCGAAATCTGCGTAGCTGAAAT